CTATGCTTAACGTGGCATTATAAAAGAAATCTTGCGATCTGTAAGCTTAATTTCAGCAGCCTAATAGCTTACCTCTCTAAGTACTTATTAGGGTGTACCCTGTTTCGGTATTTTTTTCCCAGCAGGTGGTTTCTAAACTGTGACCCTAAAATATACCCCTATGCTGGAAATAACACTTCATATTACTTTTTTTTTTCAGTGTAGATAGACCTTGATGCAATTTGCTTGAGTGTTTTCTTTTAATGTGCTCACATTTGGGCATTTGAAGCTGATTATATGCAGCACACATCAACAGAATTCATGAATTTTTAAGGAAGCAAGTATTTGATCCAAAAGATGTTGCGCTCGGAGTTAGTGAGCTCTCGTTTTGGCAGAACTGCATGAATCCTGCAGCTAGGAATGCTCTGCTGACCATACTGAACTTTGAGTCCTCAGAAGAGCATGCCAGGAACGGGGTTGGCCAAAGGTGTGATGTCAGATTGTGAGCCCCTGATGTCACAGCACGTGAGACATTTGGGAGTGGGGTGTTTGAGCTTTACAGACAACCCAGTGTGAACTTCAGAAGAGATGTTCTAGAATGCCAAGGTAGAGAGAGACATTCTGACAAGTGTAGTTGGGTTTGGTAGTCACCTGGGGTCTCTCATTTGCTCAGCAGGTTGTCTGTGTTTGTATAAATACATGGCAAACTGGACTGCTAAGTCTGATTCTTCCTCTTCTGTGACAGGTGACTTTTGATACAACCAGACATTTTAGTGAAGGAGCCATAAGAAAGAGCATCCTGGAAAGAATAAAGCTGCAAGAACAGGAGCACGTTCGAAAAAGGGGGAAAAAAAAAAAGAGAGGGGGTTGAAAGGTGAGAGTGTATTTTTAGAAAATGTCCCATTTTCTTGAGATCTGTTACACTACCTCATACCAAGTAAAATCCAGGAAGAGTGGCTACTGTAAATATCCAGGCTTTGAGGAAACAGGAGTCATAGAACTTGAAGCAGTGCTATGTAATTTTTAATTTATGTGTTACTGTCACAAAGAAAAGCATTATGATAATTCTGTGTGTAAAGCATCAGATGGAGGGGTCTGGATTATGAGAAAGGATGGACTAGAGACATCCTGAGGTCCCTTTGGATTGGATTATTCTATGATTCTGTGGGTCTGGAGTGAAATGAGAGAGCTGTTGCTCTCAAATTGCTCTGAGGCTTGATTGCTTAATATTCTGCATGTGGGTTTTTTATATTGCTCTATGCTGCAACATCACAAATTAATGTCTATGGCTTGAAGTTAATGTGACATACATTTCTAGGTGCCTCCCAGTTGACTGGAAGGTCCAAAGCTAGAGATGAACACTTTTCTGCCTTTCCCTCTACCACTTTTTATTTGTTATTTTTTCATTGTCATTACTCTTCTGGTCAGTGTTCTTAAATTTTGTATGTGAGTAATAGTAGTATATTGAAGTTTTAATTCTGTAGATAATGTGTTTGGATGGCATCCTTAACTGTCACTAGTAATTAATCATGTTACACACCTTCATATCTTAAAAACCCCTGAACACTTAGAATGCAGAGCATAGCGACTCTAATGCTAGGTCTCTGGAAACATTGCTATGCTTCCATTGTTAATACTTTCTTATTTAAATACTCTTAAAAATATTTCTAAACACTTATTTGTGTGAACAGTTTGTTGTAATGGTAAAAGTGAGAAAACTCATGGCTTGAGATAAAGACAGTTAAATAGGTAAAACAAGGAATTAATTCACCACTCCCTATCAGCAGGCAGGTGTTCAGCCATCTCCAGGAAAGCAGGGCTCCATCACATGTTAACAGTTACTTGGGAAGACAAATGCCATCACTTCGAATATCCCCCCTTCCTCATTCTTCCCCCAGCTTTATATGCTGAGCATGACATCACATGGTCTCTAATATCCCTGTGGTCAGCTGGGGTCAGCTGTCCCAGCTGTGTCCCCTCCCAAAGTCTTGTGCACCCCCAGCCTGCTCGCTGGTGGGGTGGGGTAAGGAGCAGAAAAGGCCTTGACTCTGTAAGCACTGCTCAGCAGTAATGCCTGAATTATCAACACTGTTTTCAGCACAAATCCAAAACGTAGCCCCATAGCAGCTACTATGAAGAAAATTAACACAATTCCAGCCAAAACCAGCACACAGCTTCAACTTTAATTTTTAGAACAGCAGAAATAGTCTTGCAATATCTCTTAAATGGGACCCTCATGCTAATCTGTAGGGGAGATTTGTTAATTTAAGAATTAGATTCAAATCATCAATCTCTAGTTGTGTCCTTGGAGACAAAGGATGATGTGACTCTGTTGTCTTGGCAGTGCTTATAAAGAAAACTCTAGAATACAAAGCATTTGAAGAGACAAAGAACTTTCTAAAGGTGTGCATCAGTTGGATGCATGTCATCTATGTACCATGTTTTTTTAAACATGTTATTCTAACAAACAAGATGTCTTGTTAGCCACATGTGGATCCTTGGCAACTGGTTGCTTATTATTAGCACTTCAAAGATTTGCATCCATTTCCCCAGGACTCAAAATGTAAAATAAGTGTCATCTAAATTGTCCCATATTGATAATTACCTAGAAAAAGACGTGGTGATGAAAAGAAGTTCAAGAGAGAAAAAAGAAAGCTAAGCTCGAGAGGAGAGAAGAGAGGCAGATAGATGGAGATGAGAAACATCCCCAAAAGCAGCAGAAGGTACCAGCTGAAGAACAGCAGTGGCCAGAGAATATGCCTGAATGGGAAGAAAGGAAATCCCTGCTAGCTCAGAGAAGAGTGGAGTCTGTCAGACTGCTTACAGTGCTGTTAAACCGTGTGAAAGTAAGACTACTTTAAAACATTTTAAATTTTGAAGGGTGTTTAGTACAGCTTGAATAATTCACTAGACATTTGATGTCTTGATGCTGTTCAGAAGAATGCCTTGGGACTGACAGGACACTGAGAAGGCCTGAAGTCTGTGTCTTGTGACAGTCTGCTCTCAGTCTTGCCCTGAGAGCAAAGGTTGTGCATTTCCACCCAGAAACTTTGCCTTTGATGCTTGTTCAAGGCCTTGTCATTACTGAGTAAAAACAGGGCTGGACGGGCTGTATCAGCTCTGTTAGACTTGAGCCAGCGTTGCAAGCAAGGAGTTTCGGGGCGGGGATGCAAATGATGCCATCTCTGCTTGTTTTGGTCTCAGGTCTGCAAGTGACAGAATTACATTGATGCAGATTATGCCAGTTGCATTTCTAACAGCCTCTCTTTTGTGGCCAACACTAAACTATCAGTTTTATTTCAGTTTGATTCAGCTAATGTTTTGAGAAAGCAGAAGAATGATAAAAATTTGAGTATTTTGCACACAGATTAATGTTTGGAGGCTTATTTTAGTGCTTTGGGCTAAAAGAAAAGTTTTAAATGAAAAGAGGGGTTTTCATTTCTCAGGGGTGCTAACATGGTTTTGCTTTGCTATTTGCTAAGTAAAATTTGCTTGCAGCTTTTAATGAGCGTATGTTTTCCCCAATCCTTAATGTTAAAGATTTCTAAAGGAGTGTAATTTACTAAGAGCTGAATGACTTGAATGGCTACCCTTGCCATTCTGCATGACTTTTAGGGCCCCATTAGAACTGACATTGGCCTTCTTAATTACGATGGTGATATGGAGACTTCTGTTTTCTTGGTTTCAACACTCAGCTTTAGATTGGTTGTATTTGGACCCATTTAAAACAATATATAACAAAGCATTTTATTCTAAATAAAATATTCCATCTACAAAAGTGTAGTAATTTTACTGTTGCATGCAACACTGGTTGTGATGCTGTGATCAAAGAGTAAATATTTTCTTTTGCAGTTGCAGTGAGATAGATACTTAATTGAGAATGCAGCTTTCTGAGATGATGATGTCTCTGTAGTTCTAATTTAGGAATAGTGAGATTGTATGACCGGGCTCTGAACTAAGCCAAGCTTATCTCTCACCTGTATAATTCTTTGGACTGTGGAACTGCTTGCTTATGAGTCTGCAGTTTAGCACTCTTTATAGCACTCAATAAATGTACGTAATTGTTTTCCTGATTTTTTTTTTTTTATTTGAAGGATTTTGCACAGCTGGCAAGTCAAAAAGTGGATCCTTCACTGGGTGTAAGGAAGGACGATTCCTTTTCTGAAACAGCATTAAAAGACATACATCAGGAGCTGATTAACTCCCATTATTGTACCCACAGAGAGTTGAAACATAAGGAAGAGTTAAAGTGCCCATTAACCCAAAAAGGTAGTAGCTTACACAGTGAGGAAGGAGACGTGAGTAAATTCCATGCATCTACTTGTCATATAGTCAGGACGATTTTAAATGATTCCTCTACAGCCCCAAGTTCTGACAGACTGCCTGGCAGAGATGTGTACAACTCCTTTGGCTGTGGATCTTTACTGATTACGGTTACGCAAGACTGCAGGGTCATCAAATCTCTCGACGGAAGGGACCACTCAATGTTGAATGTAGTTCACACGCAGACAGTGTCTGATGAAGACGGTTGCAAAAAGCAAAAGGTTTATGAGACTGATGAATTCATCCATTATTTATTAAACTACTATCAGACACCAGGCTATGCACGTGTTTGCCTAGAGCCAAAAAACACTGCGAACAAGTCCTGGTGGAAGAGAGTGGTGTCTGATGGTTATAGTGATTTTGACATCAGCTTGAGTAAGAAACATGGTCAGCACTTCAGAGAAGTGAGTCCTGTACAAAACTTCAACAAGAGAAATTGTAGTAGTGATGATAATTACAGACTGGTGATCACCGTTGGGGAACTTGAGTCAACAGACGCAGTGTTAGAAAACAAGACCTATGGGGGTAGGTTTGCAAAAAAGTTGCAAGTGCAGAGGAATGACTCGCTCATTGTTGATAACTTACCACATCCTGGACTGAATCATTCTTTGGGTTGCACTGCTGTTACTCATGGTAGGGAATTCAAACTAGAAGATGGTAGCAATGAAGGCACCATACCATACAAGGCATGTAGATCTGCTTGCAGATTAAAGGATTTGTTGGAAGAGATCAGTGATTCCGAGTACTTTAGAGAGGCACGTAGCGACTCAATGAAGAGAACAGAAAGGAGGTGTGAAGAAACTTACATCAATTGTAATAAAGGGTGCTTGCCTGCAAGAGCCGGGGAAAGAAAATTACTGGTTTACCTTAAAAATGTAACTCTGGAAGGTCAAGAGAAGGAAAGCAGCCAATGTAGCTTCTGTTCTAATTCTGTCCATGAGGGCTCAGCAAGGCAGTGTGAAGCTAAGCTTAAAAAATCGTGCAAGAGGTCTAGTAGTAACTTAAGACATGAAGGACAGGCAAGTGAAAGAAAATCCAGGGAAGAGGAGAAAAATGCTCACAAAATAAAGAAAAAGCGAAAAAAGCTTTCTTCTAATCTTTTATCTGATGAATGTGGCTTTTCAGAGATGGACAGTTGCATGCAGCTGGAGTCACTCAGAAAGATACAAAGAAAATGTAAGAAAATGTTCCACAACAAAGTGAAATTCAAGACACTTCGCACCACCGTGGCAGCACCAGATGTCACCCCTTGTGATGGCTCAGCACTTCAGGAGACCCTCCAGAGGACAGGTGAGAAAGAGGAACACCAGAACTAAGGTGACTGAATTTGACAGGTCTCTGGCAGGTGAGGTTAGTTGCCATGGTTCTTACAGTGATGAGTGGTAAGTGTTTTTTAAAAAGTTTCTAAAAGTATAAACATGGCATAAAAAAAGTGTGTGACCTCCCTGCAGTTAAAGGTTTGTTCAGTTTAGCTCAGAAACATTACATGCAGCTGCAGTTGAAGAGTAGTATTTGCCTATTTAATTGGCTAGCAAAGTATCTGTCATGGGCATTAGCAGATTGGTGGTTATTCTGTTAATAACATGCATGCTAACAACTCACTGTGCTTTAGACAACTAAAACGTTGTTGGGCATCTCAATATGTGGTACCTCTGGGTGGGAAGTAGTGCCTGACATTAGTGAATTTCTATATAGGTTGTCACCTCCTCTCCATACGGGATTGCTATGTTGCTGGCTGTTGTTACTCACAGCCCTCTCACAGTTTGCTTTCAGCTTACAGCTACCTCCCCATACCCCTTGTTGGGCCCTGTGCCCCAACAAACTCATTTCAAGTAACTTTTTCATATACTTATCTACAGGAGATGAGAGGAAATTAATGTTGAAAAGGGAGATGGATGCAGATGTCAGAGGATGTCCTCTGTTTCCTTTTGAGATAATTCAGACAAACCCCTGCTCAGATACTTTCTGTGGAGCAGAGCTCAGAAGAGGATGCTGAACAGCTACTATATAATAGCTCTTAAGTTTTTATACATAAGTGGGAGAAGAAAGCCCTTTGACCATTAAAAGGTATATGAAATACTGGGGTTGTTTTTGCTTAAGTAGTTCCTTCGGTTAGAGTATCTAACTGGTTTAATGAGCCACAAAACCAGAATCTGCGTTTGCCTTTTGGATAACAGAGGACCAAAACTTTCCCCAGGGCCAGATAAACTTTCATGGATCAGTTGCTAGGAATTTGAAAGATTACAGATTGAGATCTGAGTGTTATATTCTGATTGAATGTAAGGAACCATGTAAATATCAAAGTTACAGTATTTAGTAATAACAAGTCATTGCGGAAAAAACATAGCTATGTAAATCCTAGAGCAAGCATATGAAGTGCCTGCTCAATCAGATTGTTAAAATGATGGGACTGGAAGGTGTGGGGGACATTTATACTCAATGGTGGGAAGTAACAGATTTCCAAATATGAAAAAAAACCAAACCCCAACCCCAAGCATCTTCTTTAAAACCCACACTGGAAAAATGCTTATTTTCTATTCACAGTTCTAGAGGTCTTTCTGAAAACTTGCTGGTCTTTGAGGAAGGATTTCACTGAACTTGTGCTAGATGTAGTGCTTCCAGGAATCTGAACGATTGTCTAAGCAAAGCTCTGAATGTTAGATAGTGAAAGGGTAATGCTTGTCAGCATGGTGATGGTCCCCGGCTGAAAATTTGTTCACAAGATACTGAAGGCACATGTAGTGAGACAACTATTTAGTATGAGTTTGCTTACAAATAATTTGCAGAGGAATTGTGAAATGTTGTCAGACTTGTGCTGCATGTAGGTAAAAATGTGAAGATGCAGTCTAGGAGCTTGAGTTATATCCATATTTATTCAGCTGGCTATATTTAGAAAACAGCCACAATTGCTTTTGGATGAAGTCCCTTAGCAAGATATAGAGGACCAGTTCTAAGTTCAATACCCTGGTTATTTCAGCTTTCATTTTAGTATGCTTTATTTATTATATGTCAATAAACTAAGTTAATGTGATAATGTTGCCTTCATTACGTAGAATCTTACCCCTGTTTGTAACTTCTGCTCTAATACATAGTAATAACAAAAAATTGTAATTGTTCATGGTACATAGGTGTTCAGTGTTCAATACTGGCGATTCCTACAGGCTTCCAAGCCAGGTTTTACCAGTCTTCTCCGTTCACATGTTCAGATGCTGAGTGCCTTTTCAGGGTCATGAATGGCAAATGGTTGCTACTCCAAGTACTGTTAATCTATTGTTTTTACCTAAAAAGATCTTATTTTCTTGACAGAAATATTTTCTGACTATTTTGGAGAATATTTATGCCCCTCTTAAGTCTCCTTTTTAGTATTTTATACAGTTATAATGAAGATCAACTGTTGTATTTGTTGACTGTGTAAAATGTTTCAGTTGCACTGATATGACATACCAAGGGTGTTTTTTCTCTACGCAATATTTGCGGATTAAAGACAACGCAACTTCCCCCTCTGTTAATCTATAGACAGTTCTGTGCCCATAAGTACCCATTTCCCATGAACAGGCCTTTCCATTACAGGTGAGGAAGTACTTTTTGGTAATCTGGGGAGCAGGAATTAAAGATTTCCTTCGGTGTACACTTCCAGTGTTTTAACAACATGTTGTCACAATATTCAGTAACAAATAAATACACCAGTTCTGTAATTGCTTCTTGAGTTAACCTATATTGATTGAAACTGATAAAGCAAATCCTCTATCTCATTCTGTGTAAAACATTGTTAGTAAATAAAATGTGAGACACCATTGTAATCTTGATACTGAAACAGAACTTTTGTGTTTCCTATTTGTTTACAGGTGGCATTATTTAGAACCTGTTTTCAGGTGTTTTAATAGTAATTCCTTACTTTTCCTATCGACATGCTTAATTTGAGCCCCATCTTTTCATACGCTGGCCTGTTAAGTATTATCCTGAAGGCTAATCTTTAAAGCTACATATAACCGTTTGCTTTGAAACTTTTAAGATACATCGCTTTGTAGATTAAATTTCAATAGTTATAGGAGTAAATGTCACATGTCAAGTATGAAAGTTACAGCATGTTTAGACAATTAGAACAGTTAATAGGTGAAAAGGTACATTAAAGTCAGCATTTATATAGTTCAGCAACAGAAATGTGTAACATTTCTGGCATAATTTCACACCTTTCAGTTTGAGCCTGGCGTGTGTGCTTGTAACTCAGCTGGCACTTCAAGAGATGGGGGGGAGGCTTATGGAAACACTGTTTGCTCTGACACATACAAAGTAGGGCCCCGAGATTGCAGATCTTGCAATCAAACCTGATTTTCTGTACAGAACTACGGAAAATGCCTCCTAATGGAGTAGATAGAACACAAGTCTTCTCAGGAGAGCTGTCTGAACTAAGCTTTGTTAGCAGAAATACATGGCCGGTTGGTTGTACCTTGTGCTGAATGCTGAAGTCAAAATCCTGCAGGCTGTTTTTTTAAAGCAGAAATACACAATGAGCATTATTACATCAATCCATCTGCTTGAAATCCAAGAATAGAGTAATTGTGATATAAAGCCCTTTCTTCTTAATCCAGGGATTCAGGCAATGCATAGAAGTGCCTCACCTTTTGTAAAACCCCTTGCATAACTCTTGACATAAGCACTCATTACTGAACTTTTTTGTTTTTAACTGAAACAGCACGGATTAAGAGCAGGTAGAGTCCAGATAAAAGAATATCTGAATTTTACAAAGCAGTTGACAGTATGCCAGAACCAGTTGGAAATTAGATTTGTTTTGATTTGTCCTAGAGCCCCTCAAGTATGCCTTTGTGACACACACAAGTAATGCGTGTTTGGACACTTCAGATGAGGGAGATTGCTGACAGTCTCTGCTCTTACTTGGTCATCGTGTCCTACTTGGTTGATGTACAATCCGATAAGCTACTTGGCACGGTTCTTTTTGCTTAGTCATTGCAGCCAGTTGCTGTTGAAGGAAGGGATCATGTTGCAGTAAAAAAGAAGCTAAAACCCATCCATTTTCTCCAGCACGTTAAAAGAAAAATAAAATCCGTGACTGCTGCTTCAGAAAACCACTGCTTTTGTGACTTGTTTCTTCCCCTTTCACGATAAATTCTCTGTTTTCTCTGAAAAAGTAGTGGTCTTACCAAAGTGTAATACTTCCTTCCCGAGAGGCACGGATGATTAACATTAAGCTTTGTCTTGTGTTACTGCCAGTTTTCTGTGTAGTTCTTATTTATTATTATTCTTTGTGATGCATCATGTTGCAATGTACAGATGAATATTTAAAGGAGTGTTCAGTTCCTCAGGATACGTTCTGGACTAACTTAAGAGTCAGATGTTTGGGTCCACTGAAAGGTGGCTTACAGCCTACCCTAGTTCCACTGCATGACAGCCTTCCAAAGCTCTAGCTTTTGCTCAGTGTTAACGATTGCTTGGGCCTTTTTATGCCTAACTCTCTTTTGGCAATAGCAAAGCATATTATACAACATGTTCACGTTCTGTACTTAATTTTCTGTTAAAATTATGCTACAGAACTGCAGTTACAGGCATTCAGTTAGAACATGTGTTCAATAATGTAAAACATTGGAGAAGGACAGTATAAAGCTTGAAACAGTGGGAGAGGATTAAGTATCACATTTAGTTGCAGTAAATAAAAACAACCACCACCATTATGCAAGAGTATTTTATTTTCTGCCTTAAATAAAAAAGCACATTTCTGATTTGAGGTAAGCCATTAGTAGTAGCTTGCAAAGAGTATAAATGCCTCTAAAAATAAAATAGCAACACAAAGGTCACGACAAGATTTACATTTGTCTCTAGACCTTCATTAGGTAGTTCATACAGTACCATTTTACGGAAGCTAGCTGGCTCAAACAACTGCACTCTTCATTTGAAGGCCCAGTGTAACCAAAACAACATGCCATGAAAGTGTTAGGAGAGGGAAGGTCAGTTGTTCTCACCACAGATGGTCCTCGGGCACCTCAACATCTTGTGTCAACTTGTTTGTGAAAAGCTGCTGTTGGGCAATGCACTCTATTTCCGAACAATTTTGCTTAGTTTACACCTTCCTGCTCAGGCCTTTGTTCATCATTTTGGTCATGTTGCCAAATTGAAACAATTCGGCCAGACCACTGCACGGGAGAAACTAAACAGGGGGAACTATACCAGAGAGGCACCCGAGCAGAATCACCTGGACAAGAAACACATTTACAACTGATCAGCAAATGATTAGTTATCTCCCTGGAATTTCTGAGAAAGTTTTGCAGAAGTATTTTGGATGATGAAGGAGCACATTTACATTTATTCCTTGGTCAAATCCATTTACCAAGCCTCCTCTGGTAGAAGACTAGGTTACATAGAACAAACCTAGTAATTAAGCACAGATGTGAGCTAAGAGCAACTAAGTAAAAGGCAATTCAAAGGTCAGGCCCCCCAGATTATAGCTTTGCTGGTTGTTCATGAGATTGTGCAGTTTCTTTTAATGGCAATGTTCCAGAGCAACAAAGGCCTCAACACAGACACGGCTTACACCATGTTTTTTTTATTTTGTACAGGAAACTTAAGAAGTTACATTCACCAGTAACATTTTTCTGCTAAAGCTGCATGTGCAAGAGCACTTGTTAATCGTGCCATACCAGCAAGTAGTCTTTTTTTAGGCCTATGAATCAATGGCAGCTGATCTTCCCCATTTACTATCATTTTGCTAAAATTCACAGAAGAGTTTTACTAAGAGGAAAAGTGAATGAACGGTAGTCCAGTCGAGTCACACTTCATGATGTACCTGGTTTTTAGGGATGCCTGGTTATACTCGGTATCTAAACCTTTGTAACACTTCAGATGTGCTTTAAAAGTAAACAAAGAATATTAATCCATGCATAATTATGCATGACTGAATACATCAAGTATTAATCAGTCCTTATTGATTTTCTAAGTATCTGAAGTGATTTAGCATCTCAAAAATTTTAATTTTTTTAAAAGAAGTTAGTTTCACCTGTAAGCCGCTATGTAACTCCTTAAAAGCCAAATTATCTTACATAATATTGAATTACATCGCACCACAAATAAGTATGATGCTTCATGGACAAATAAAATATAGTCCCTTTTCTAAAGGAATTACAATCCAAGGCCCAGATCCTGCAGAAGCTAACACAAAACAAGATTTAGTGGAATTTGTGTTGCATATGTGAAGTTACTCTTGTGCTTGTGTCCACAGTGCTAGGTTGTTAATGAAAAACTGGATTTCAACCTACTCTGCACTAAATGGTGATAGAAGAAAAACAGTAATAGTCCTTTATTGCCAAAATTGTAGTTTACTTTTGCACAGACATTTTTCATGCACACTTTAGATTATGCTGGTTTAAAGGAAGACAGATCTTAGACCTTCAGTAGTTTACCACTGAATTTGAGAGGGAAACCTTTGAAAAACAATTCACGCTAATTCTGGACCTTTTGTAAGCATTGCTGCTGTTGCAACTTGTAAAACAGAAGTGGAATGTTACAAATGATCCTTTACAATTCAAAAATAGACTGTTCCTCACTGCACTGTCTAGTCTTTCTTTGCATCCTGGGCATCTTTTTCTTCTTCATCAGAGTATACAGTGGGTTCCTCCCCTTCCTTCAGCAGCTTACCAACATGGTGATACTTAACTGGGGAAAAAAAAAGAATCCAAGTCATTATTCTGCCCTGAAGATGTACCTTTTTCAAGTCCTATCTCTGTTTCCTCAATTAACAAGATGCCTATATTATAATAGAACAGCTCTCCGCAACTTCTTCCAAACACTGGTGGTAAGGAGAAAAGCTGAAATCAACTACCTGAACTACTATTAATGTTGTAGTAAGTGTAAGAAACATGCAAAGTGAATGTAACTATAGTTCTCCTGTTGCCCACGCCAAAAGATGACTGAATGTAAAGACACATGCTAACTAAGGGGCTCATCCAGCTACAGAAACAGAATCCTGGATTAGATTATTTCTCTTGCCAATGACAAAGCTAGTTTTTCAACTAATGGCATTGTTAGAATATTTACGTTACGTATTATACATGTATGTACATACATATGTGTACATGTACTCAACTTGGAAGGGTTTTTGTTTTTGTAATATATGTTGAAAATATCCAATAGGACAGAAGAGAGATCCTTTCTCCCCAAGATGAAGATGGCTCTGTGATCCCATTATGCATCTAAGCCTCTGCCTTATCTTACATCTCTTTTTGAACATGTAAAAATGCTAAGATCATACATGTGTAAGAACTGAGAGCTATGCTATGTTGCCCATCTGTCAACTTCAACAAAACAAAAGATGCCTCTGACTACAGGTATTTTGGACTATTGTTGTTACAATTAGTAAGAATTTAAAGCCACTAATCGCCAAATTTACTAGAAACATAGTAATAAAAAGAGTGCAGGTCACTGTCAGTCCTGATGCCCGACTCTTGAAAAGGCAGATTTAAACACCAGTTTAGGTCAGATATTTGGTAGCATAGTTCTGGTTTCTGCAACATACTTGTTAGCATCAGAAAACAGCCATTCAGTGTGGCGTGATTAAGTCTTAAGGCAGGAAAAGCGCTGAAATAGTAAGGGCACATCAGGTCAGGACTGAGACAGTCTAATGACATTATATGTGGAAGAAAGCTCCATTCTAGCTAGTGATAGTAAATCTTTTAATACTGAACACTAGATTTAAAAACAAAACCCATTTGATTTCCACTATACTGCTTTTTGTATATACACTTTCCATCTATCTATATATATATATAAAAATTCATCAATACAAACAACTGATACATTTATTTTTTGTCTTGTCTGAGTAGAAATAATCCTTTTGGTGTTCATTTGCCTAAAAGGCATCATGAAATATGGAGGAATTATTTTTCATCAACAAGATACACAATGGGAGAAAAAAAAATCATAGCAGTGGGCATGCCTTGGTACAAAGTCAACACAGCAATCTCCATAAAACTGTGGTTTGAAGCAGCAAGTTGAGGCACACGACACAAGACAGTTGGAATTGCCTTTTTTAAACCTTTAATACTAAGCATAGAAAAACAAGACAACTACGAAAGTGACTTCCTTCTGTTAATTTTAGAACATCTCAAGTGTGCAAGTTGCCTTTTTTCCTTTGCCACTCTGGCCATCACTGGCACAGTAATGACCAGGCTGCTTGCAAGTGTGGAGGTGACATTTGCCCATTCCTGATCACCACCTGAGAAAGTCAGCTGGATACAGTTGTCCATAATCTGATAAAGCCACCAGCAAGGCCATGAATTTATTCAGAGTAAAAAAAGTTGTATCAAGGGCTCCAAGGGCAAACGGACAAGTTTAAACAGTCTTCAAAACTCTTCAAACTCAAAACTATTACCCAAGAAGTAATAATTAAGTGTTACTCTTATTTCTGAGAAGCTGAACAGGACATAAGCTTCATTTTTTCAGATCATTAAAATCTTGTCGTCTCTATAGATGGGGTCTTAACTGTATCAAAAACATGCTCTTAATTTCCAATTCCTGTCAACTTTTTGGGTTTTACAGATCTTATCCTATGACAGAGTGCTTCCATCTCTCCTGTGGTTCTGTAAGGAGCAGAGGGAGGGAGAACGCGGAAGGAAAACCTGACAATTCCCTTAATTCTTTTGAGTAACAGTAATTCCAGTAATACTTAGTAAACGGAGGTATTAGCTCAAAGTAAGTTTCGAGACTGATGCTTCCAGCTGGTAACAGCTTTTTAACCATTGCTTCCCTTACTACACACTAGTTAGCTACTTCTTTGTAAATAGGTTTAAAATTGCTTACAAGTGAATTGTGACTCCCAGTCCCTCAAGGTCTCCTGCTGTGTAGCATTGAGATCAGAGAGGTCATCATAGTCATCCCTCAGAGCCTCCTTATCCAGGCAGAAAGTGGCAAGACCTCGGGATGCATCTCTTCCAGCAAAAACCCCATACGGGCCATCTTCAAAATGAAAAATATAAGCAGCATTATTACAGAGGTAATGGATGGTGTATGATCTTCATGGATCACAGTCCCTAAACTGAAACAGATGATAAGTTCCTACCCTGACCTGTGGGTCAGAGGTGCCTCAAACTGATGAAATGTTTTTAAGTTTTATTCTACTTGGTAATAAAGGAAAAAAAGAGGAAGAGGACAAGAAACAAAACCGTGGAAGAGATACTGAGTTTGCTGAAACATCATGACAGTGAATGACACAACGGTACATAGAACATACAAACAGGGTAAGAATAGGCATACAAATTGGGAAGCACATCTTAAGAAAGAGGAACCAAGGAAGGATTTGTACATCTGAGGTGAAATGAAAGTTTTCTAAGAGATGCTCCTGACTTAAAGACCTGAAAAGATGACTTGATAGAAAATGTGATGGAGATACTAGAAATTACCACATTGGAAGAAACATCTATTAAAACTTTCAAAATGCAAGATGAACTCAAATGATCAAAACATGCAACTCACAGTAGAGAGATATCTTATCAGGACAGACTCTTGCTAAACTTCATTCATGATTAACTTGTCTGCATGACAAGCCAAAAATGGAGATATCACATGTTGCAACTAGACATTGAAAGTTCTTCTTAAGGGAACTTAAAGAAGTTAGATGTGAACTCTGGTTACGGTAGAGACCATGCCATCTTCCACATCTTCCAGTGAGCTTTTTCCTAAATTCATCAAAAGAATCTTACTTTTCCATTAAAATTAAAACCAAACTAGCCAGACACTGTTATGAACCATTCAGCAATTACCAAATTAAATACAACGGGCAGCTTTTATTGTTGTCAAAGCAGGTAGCATCCAAAGCATGGTCCTTAAGTCAAGTGGTTTTTAATTTGCACAAATAAACAAAACTGCACATCTAACTCAGATGTACATCTCATTGTAACTGCTGCAAAATTCAAAGTTACAGTCCAGCATCATTCAGCGACAGTCTCCAGTCTATGTTTGGAAGAAAAGTAATAATCTCATCATGCTTCCAAATATGTGGTGTCTCCTGCACTGTTCTTGTCTCTAAGTAGCACTCTAAGTAGCCCACTACTGCAGCTACCAGCTGCCCGGACAGCTCAGGAGTGGTTATGCCAGACAGATCCTGGTACAAATTAGCAAGCCTCCGTGAGACTTTTTAACAGGAGGCCTCTGCTGAACATAAAAATCCATGCCCTGGTGGGCGTGATTAACTCTACATCTAGGTGCACATACTCCCACCCACATCTTCCCTAGCTGCTCTATAAGCCTCTGTAGAGCTTATTCAATCTTTGCATGTTTGACCTGCCTACGCTCCTGATAGGAAGCTGGTTTAATCTAAATTGCTAACTATTTAGTATCAATATTATGCAATAGAGTGATGTCCACTAAAAGCTGAGAATGGAATGTAAACACTGAGAGAACACTTTGCTTCTGCTGCCTGCCATCAGGCAAAGGCACCCGAGGCCGATGAAGCCGCCCAAACTCAACAGTGGCACAACCCCTTACAGTACTTGCCGCATGTGTAACCTGCCCTGGGAAAATAAAGAGAAGAATGAAGTCACGCAGCTTGGCAAACCGGAGTTTTTACAACATCGAGGCCCGACTCCGGAGCCCAGGCAACCGCAGTAATCCTGCCCGCCTCCTCCCCCGGGGAAGCAGGTCTCCCGGCGCTGCTGGTCACCGGGCGAGCTGCGCACACCCTCCCCGGCTCCGACGAAGCCGAACCCTTTCCGGATCGCCGGATCGTCAAC